TTTAACTCACTCCAAAATTTTTTCTTATTTTCATTAAAATTTCTTGACAGTGCCCCCCCACTCTTTCTCTGCTCTCCCTTTGACTCTCTCCCCACTCTCTTCACCTTTCTTTTTCTCCATTACTTGCTCTTTTTATAACACTTTGCTTTGTAAAACCTTTTGTAACTACCTTTTTCTTTTTTTCCACCTTTATTTTTATCATTCCACCAATCATCCTTTTTCCCTTTTCCCTGCCCCCACCCTCCTATAACCACAAATTTCTCCCCCCACTTCAATACTGCTTTTTTAAAAATTTTCCCCAAACCCCAAAAACCCCCCTACTCATTTTTGACTAGCCCACCTTTCTCCCATAGTCGTTTATTCGCCCAACTTCCTCCTCCCTTATTTTTTCCCTTTTTCACCTCCCTCTTACTTGTTGTTGCCACTTCTTTTTTCCCCATCTACTCTTTATCTAACTGTAGAACAACTAAATAATAAAATCCGTATTGTTGCCCCTCTTAAACATGTCATCCTGGACCCTCCCATAACCTTTTATCCACCAATAATAATCTAACAAACTTTTCTTTACATGCTGCTCATATTGTTATTTATTTTCCTCTTTTTTATAAAATTGTATTAAATTTTCCCAAATTCTTTCTACACATAGCATATATATATATTTTTTAATTATATATATATTTTTATAATTATAAATATATTATAATTATTTATATATATATATTATAATAAAAAATATATATTATTTGTCGTGCCGAATAGGCAAAACTTGCGATCTTCGCTTAAATAGCAACTTCATCTTGCTATGGGACAAGCGAAAATTTGTGTATGCAAAAATTTTTCGCCAAAATCTTTCTGAACCTAACGAAAAAAATATATTTCACGTGTTTTTTTGTTTTAAATTTTAGTCCCCAAATTTAAAAATATATTTTTTTGGGTTAGGGTAAAATAAATTGTTCTTGTTAAAAAAGGGGTTAGGTAATTTTTTCTAAGATTTTTTTGGAGAAAAATTTAAAAAAATTTTTACATTAAATTTAAAAAAAAAATATATCTTCAAGTAAAGAAAAAAATTTTAAAATAAATTTTAAAATTTTAAATGAGTTTTCCCTTTGACCTTTTTTAAATTTCGGCACGACATCATACATCAAAAAGTATGAGTTGTATTATGTATGTATGTATGTATGTTGTATGTTGTTATATATATATATATATTATATATATATATATATATAATATATATAATATATTATATATATATATTATTATATATATATATATTTTGGGGGATTTTGGCTTTTGGGGGGGATATGTTGTGTATCTTTATATGTGTATGCTTCAAAATGTTGTATTCTGGCCCCTTGCAAAAACAGTGATAAGTGGGGGTGTGGGAAAGTTTTGAATGATGAAAAAGTATTTTTTTTTTGGGATTTTCTTTCTTTTTTTTGGGTCCCCCTGCCTTGGAGGGAGAGGGCCCGCTTTTTTAAAAAAAAAAAAAAAAATATAATTATATTGTTTTTATAAACTTTTGAATTTTCCCGCATTATATTTACACCACCATTGCCCTCAGACAGACACCCCCACTGCCCCCCCCCCCTTTCCTCACTGCAACATTTATACCCTCCAACCCAAAAAAAATTTAATCTTGGTAAAAAAAAATCTTTTCTTTCCCCCCCCCCGGGCCCCAAAAAAAGTTCTTTTACAGAAAAAGTGCCCCCTATTTTTTAAGAACTTGGGGGAAAAGGGTATGGGGATTAGGGGGTTGTAACAAAAAATTTTTCCTTTGGGGGGGGGGGGGGGGGGGGGGGGGGGGGTTTTTTGGGGGGGAACAGGGGGGGAATGTTGTACGAGGAGAAGGTGGAGGCATGGGATTCATGTTGAGCCAATGTGTGGTTGAATATAATGAAATTGTGTTTGGAAGTTAGGAGGGGTGGGGATTACCAAACGTTGTCCGAGGGCTTGAGGGAAAGGGGTTTTTGAGGCGGTTCGGAAAAGTAAGAGAGAATGGGGGCGAAAAACAAATGATTCAAAGTGATATTGAGGGAAGGGGCGGGGGGGGGGGCCTAGGAAATAAACCTTAAAAAATACAAACGTTTTGATTTTTTCCTTTTTTAAAAATTTAAAACCCTTTAAAAATTTAAAAACCAGGTAAAAAAACTTAAAGTAAGGAATTAAAAAAAAAAAAATTTTAAATAAAATCATTTAAGCAAACATTGATAAAAATTTACCCTGTTTTTAAAACCTGATTTAAACACTTAAGGTTGGTCTTACCATTTATTCAGCCCATTAAAGTAAAGGGCCCTTTCCCCAAGACACAAGACTCCCCCGTGCTGGGCCAAACCCTTTCCACCGACAAACTTTTTTAAACCCGGTAACGGGGGGGGGCTTTTTTTAAACCTATAAAACCCCAGACAACTTACTTTTTTTAAAAATTCCTCAAACCGGGTTTTTTTTGGGTTTATTTGTTTTTAATTGGCAATTTTAAATATTATGAACCCCCCAAAATCCTAAAATTTAAAAAATTTAAATAGCAGGGGGCCCCGCTTTTTGGCGTTTCACCTTACGGTGGTCCGCTAATACGGCGATCTCAAATTATGACCAAAACTTTCTATATGGCAAGAGGTCTTTCAAATATGGCACGTGCCACTCGGTTTGTTTACATTCTCCATGAGCACATCTCTCTATTATGTAATAATAATCACTCTTGGGCATATTAAATGTCTAATTTTATGTCAGTAAAGACATTTTCATTAAGCCATTTATGGTATTTTCTTCAAAATTATATAAGAAACACGTTACATAGCATATAAACATGCTGTTTATATGCTACGGAGGTGTGGTTGCCGGGAAGAGGGAAAACATTATGTAATACTGATAATAATCACTCTTGTACACATTAACCCTTTCAGGGTCTGTGCCGTAGATCTATGGCTTTACGTTCAGGGTCCAAACCGTAGATCTATGCCATGAGCTCAGCTCACTCTGATAAGCTGTGAGTGGTAAATTTGGGCCTAGATATGAGAGAATACATCTATGTGGTATGGGTGCACCACATAAAACAAATCCTGCAGCACACAGTGTATAATGAGAGAAAAAAACTGAGACCGTGATTTTCGATTAAAACAGCGACTTTGCAGTGTTTTTCGTATGTTTTTTATAGTTGTATTTGCGATTTCTTGGTCTCATTTGATGGAATGGAAGATATATTACAGAAATAGAGATGAATTTGATTGGTTTTAGCATTTGGAAAAGGCTTGAAACTGAGCTCAAAGTAGCGGAAATGTTAAATTTTTGCTGATGTTCAAGAGTAAACAAACGACCTCACACATCTAGAACACGTCAGCAGGTGGGTCTAATATACATTCACAAATGTGGGGGAGGGATATTTAAAACAATTATTATAATATTGCATAACAGTAAATCTTCTATTTTTTGGTTTGAATAAAAATTCATTATGTTAATAAAAAATCAAAATGGAATTCCATTTGTAAAGCCTCAAAAGTAACTATGAACAGAGGAAATGTAGTTTAGTGCCAGAATCCCTACATTGTTTATTCTGGACCCTATTTTGAAATTGGAATATTTTGAACTTTGTGTTAAATTGGCCAATTTACCAATTTCCGATCACTTAATTTTGTAGTTGAAACAATTGACTTGGCGATTTCTTGTGCTCAATCGATAGAATAGAAGTAATACTAGTGAAACAGCTAAGAATTTGGTCGTCTGGAATAATGTAATTGGCCTAAACTGGGAGTCAAAGTCGGCAAAATCGCCGATTTGTAAATATCGCTGACACATCAAAATTCGCGAGAGCATAATTTAGTGAATTTTCCATCAAATTTCATACTTTTTGTTTTATTACCTTCAGAAAAAGATTCTCTACCATTTCATAAGAAAAAATAATTTTTTTTTTTTTTAAATTCTTGGACCCTGGTGCGCACTTTGAAATTTGGCCTCTGGACCCTGAAAGGGTTAAATGTCTTATTTTATGTTAACATAGACATTTCATTAATCCATCTATGAAATTTTTTTCCAAATTATATAAGAAACACGTTACATAGCATATAAACATTTTATGTTTATATACTATTGAAGTGCGGTAGCCAGGAGGAGGGAAAACATTACGTTACCCCTTAATATGTAACGCTTTTGTTTACAATTCTCGGCATGAATTATTCATTACTTCTCCCTTTGTTTATGATGGCATCTAAAGATAGTTGTTAGAAATGATTAAACTCAGTGAACATGGTATGTCGATGGTAATAATATGGCTCTGGGCCACATTAAATAATGTGTAGCTATGTAGGTAGGTGTAGGTATGTAGCCCAGGTGGACTACATACCTACATTATTTTTTTTTTTTTTAAGAAGTCGGCTGTCTCCCACCGAGGCAGGGTGACCCAAAAAGAAAGAAAATCCCTATAAAGAAAATACTTTCATCATCATTCAACACTTTCACCTCACTCACACAATCGCTGTTTTTGCAGAGGTGCTCAGAACACAACAGTTTAGAACCATATACGTATAAAGATGCAACATATCCCTCCAAACTGCCAATATCCCGAACCCCTCCTTTAGAGTGCAGGCATTGTACTTCCCATTATTATTATAACTGATAATTATACTTATGTGTATGTGTACCTATATAAACTTACACACTGTGCTGGCATGCAGGTACACATTAAAATCTCTAAGAGTATCTTATTAGTCTTGAAATTGCCATATTAATAATGATAATAATAATAACACAATAATAATCACTCTGAGGAGCATTAAATATCGTATAAAACGTAAATATAGGCATTTTGCTTAATCCATCTAAATACACCCCACAGCAGAATAGAATAACATAAATATGAGATGTGGTAAACAGGCGACTTGTAGTCCAACATCAGAGACAATTCGTACACTATATTCTTACTGGGGGTAACTAGAAAATTATTCCTTTCGTATGCCCTCACTCAGGGCATCACTTCTTCTAAAAATGGTGTTACATGAGAATGGGAGTGTTTCTCTTTATTTATTCTACTGTACCAATGTGGAGACAACTTGTAGACAATGTAAAGTGACAAAAACCAGACGCGTTCGCCTGGTTTGTTTGCATTACGTGTGGTGGGGTGGGGAGGGCTTCCCTGGCTGGCTACCATACTTCCCAAACCTGACTTCCTACAAATAACTCACCTCTCACCCTACATTAAGACTACAAATATTTTAAGGTAATTAATGAATGTACTGTACATGTATTTTATCACTCTGGGGAGCTTTAATTAAATGTAGTATGTTACATGTGGGAAGGGTGGGCTGACCTGACTGGCTACCATACCTCCCAAACCTGACTTCCTACAAATTAAACTCACCTCTCACCCTACATTAAGACTATAAAATTTTAAGGTAAGTAATGGGTGTACTGTGTGTGTATTTTACTTTTTATTGTTTTTAATGCTTAGTTTTGAGAGTTAAGACACTTGTGCAACATCTGGTTATCTTTATTGTAGACGTTTTGCCATTCAGTGGCTTTATCAATACAGATTCTTGGACATAATTAGAAAAACAGAAGAACTATATACAAAAGATGAGGTAATCAGTCCCTCAGCCTTGGAGGTGGTGTTTACAGCACAGTGGTTGTAGAGATTCTGAAGCACAAGTAAGGAGACTGGCACTTATATAGGCGTCAGTGAAAAAGGACGTGTAGCAGACGAAGGCATAGTCACTGGTAGGCGGGATTCCCCAGTGGAAGCAGGTCCTACCCAAATTGATGGGTTAGTGTTAGAAGCCGTGAAGAAGGTTATGTAGATGTCCTCTGAACCAAGATTCCATGATGTTGCAGTGCCTGACAAGTTGTGCAAGACAAGTATACAATACCGACAAGATGAGAGTTAAGACACTTGTGCAACATCTGGTTATCTTTATTGTAGACGTTTCACCATCCAGTGGCTTTATCAATACTACTTCCAACTGGGGAATCCCGCCTACCAGCGACTATGCCTTCGTCTGCTACACGTCCTTATTCACTGATGCCTATATAAGCGCCAGTCTCCTCACCTGTGCTTCAGAATCTCTACAACCACGGTGCTGTAAACACCACCTCCAAGGCTGAGGGACTGATTACCTCATCTTTTGTATATAGTTCTTCTGTTTTTCTAATTATGTCCAAGAATCTGTATTGATAAAGCCACTGGATGGCAAAACGTCTACAATAAAGATAACCAGATGTTGCACAAGTGTCTTAACTCTCATCTTGTTGGTACTGTATACCTATCTTGCACAATGCTTAGTTTTATTGCTAACATAATATATGTTAGTGTAAACTTGTTACCTGGCATTTATATGCATTTATAAGTGGAAAAAATGTCGTTCTGCTTTCCGGCAATAGCCTGGAACCCAACCTGCTGTATAAGTAGGGCCCTAATGTACTGCTAAACATTTTTAAACTGAAAAACAATTATAATTCAGCATCGAGTGATTGTTTTTTGCCAACTTAAGATTTTATGGTGTGTTGATCAGATTCCACTCATTGTAGTCTGTATTTTTAAAGAATCAAATAAACCTTTAATTTTTTAATTTTTTTTTTTAAAATCTTGCCACAGGAATTTTGTTTTCTGCATATGAGCACAGTAAAGGGGTTAAACAAGTCTGCTGGTGATGCATCACTGCTTCACAGTGTAGTGGTGGGTTATGTGCTACTCCATGTCTTATTCACTGCCCAGACTCTTGGTTCACATTTACCATGACCACAGAACTGGCTTCACTACTAACCTGTTACCCCCCAAGGGAGGTTCACTGGTGCTGATGAGGGGCTCTCAATCTAAGGAATTGGTCTTGCCCTCCCATTTCCCATATGACTGCCATGGATTTATTGCATTCCCTCAGGAATACAGTGGTACCCTGAGTTTCATACAGCTCCTAACTCGAACAATTATGTAAGTGTATTATTGTAAGTGTATATTTGGGGGTCTGAAACGGACTAATCTAATTTACATTAATCCTCATGGGAACAAATTTGTTTGGTAACGGCACTCGAACAGCCTTCTGGAACGAATTATGGCCGAAACTCGGGGCACCACTGTATAATAATCTCATCACTCAGGTGCTGTACAACACCCTATGGGTTCATTACTTTCCCAGTAATATAAATTATGCAAGAAAATTACTATTATACCTTAAATTAAGATTTAAATGCAGTACAATGTATTTATAATGCATAACATACTGATAATGACAACTAAATGGATATTCTTTACAAATTATCTTAGTTTTCACAGTACATAAAGTACATTGTGCAGCAGCATAGATCAAGTGCCACCACAGCCAAAATCTGGGTTAGTGAAATAATTATTATTATAATACAAAAAGATGCAGTAAACCCATTAGGGTCATACAATTGGGTTAGTGAAAGAACCAATTCCTATATGTACTGTCTGAGAATGTAGAGATACTGTATTGTCTTCTGTGTCTGTAAATTAAGTTCAGAGCCCCATAACAATGCCTGGTAACTTAGCTCAGATCTTCCCACACCCCAGAGCTATATGACCCTTGTGGGTTTAGTGCTTAGTTATGATTATAAAAATAATAATCCCCCACACTTGCATTTTTCTCTGAATTTGGCACTTGCTGTTTTCCACTGTGCAATGCCTAGTATACTGTGTACGAACTGATTTTAAACTGACTCCCACTCAATGTGAAATAAATAAGAGCATTAAAACATTTAGTTTATGGGTATTATATGCTCCTTAATTTTTAACTCAAGTTTTAATGCTTTGTTGCCTATAGGAAGCAATAAAATTTTCTGAAGTGAATGCAACTGGCAAATAACAGCAAAATCTATATGTAAAATTCTTTTGCAAATAGCATGTTTTTTTTTGTTTTTTTGAGAGGATGAAGTCTGCCACTCAAGAGTTCTATTATGATTATAATATACCCAAAACAAAAGATATTCTCAAGAAGCAACAAAACATCAAAGATAACAGTAGGGGTTGTCCTTTGGTATAACTTGGGTCCATAAATACTGTGGTTATAATTTAGTTTCTTAGGGATGCATCACTAAGCAGCGCCTGAATACGAGACTGCAGAGCTTGGTGTTGGGGTCCACAGGCTGCTAACACTTCTGTTAGACCCGTCGAGCTACGCTGTTCCTGAGCCACTTTTACTGCTTCTTCCAGGAGTCTGGCAAGTAAAAAATTGGGATTTTTACTCTTGATACAGTACAGATGGGTTATCTAACAAGAGTGACAAAACAAACAGGTGAGGTAACTGGACACTGTAGCCATCAGATATTAAACCAACTGACATATATCAGTTGCCATTTTTCCAGCTGGACATCAAGTGACGATGAAAGACACACAGAGCAGTGGTGCTCCTAATAAGAAATCCATGGAGTTTTGAAGAGGTGAGAAAGATAAACAGTTAATACTGGGGAACCCAAAGTAGTAATTGCAGTAATATACAACCTGCTATCTAACAAAAGGAAACTGTGGCAGGAATATAAGGACAAAAACAGTGACAGTTGATAGAGCTGAAGTAGCTAGGAGTGCACACAGGACCAAGACAAAGTTACTTATGAGTGATTTCAACCACAAACTCCTCAAGGGAGGTTCCTTGATGCTGGTGAGGAGCTCTTGATCTAGGAAACTGGATCTGTGCTCTAGTTCCCTGAATTAATCCTGAATACCTTCCATACCCCTTCCCACAGGCGCTGATAATCCTATGGGTTTAGCGCTCCCCCACGATTATAATAATTCAACCACAAAGAAATTGATTGGGAGAACTGGGACCCATATAGGGGACTGGAAACAAAAAGAGCTAAGGTGATGGAAGAGGTCAGGGTAAAACTGTATCAGCAAGGCTGGACCTAGTGTTTACCACAAGTATGTCTGACACAGAAGAAATTGAGTACTACAGTGCCTGGGCACCAGCGACCATGCAGTACTGAACTTTGAGTACCTTTTGGAACTAAATGTAGAGGGAATCTAAGATTAGCAGGTAGAGGGTGCAAGAAGCCAAACTGTAGAATGAGGAAATTCTTGAATGTAGTGCAGTGGAAAAAGGAACTGGAGAGAAAAGTCAGTGAATGAGATGATGGGGCACATAGTTCAAAAGTGACAGGAGGCAAAGGAAAACTTCATACCTAGTCAAAAAATGGGGAAAAAGAAAAGACAGAGAGAGCCCTAGGTTCAACCAAAGATTCAGAGAGGCAAAAAAATAACATGAAAGCATGGTAAAATTATAAGAAGCAAAGAACAGATAAGAACAGAGAAGTGAGCAGATTAACCAAACAAATAAGCAAATGTGAGGAGAAAGTCTGAGAGGCAATTTGATAATGACTGTCTGAACCCAAACTACTTCAAAGTCACATCAGAAAGAAAAAACTGCAAAAGACCAAGTATAGCAGAACCCCGTATCTGCTATCCAAGTTTTACCGTGACCCAAAAATAACCCTTTTGCTTAATAATGACACCAAAGCACAAAAGTAATTATGGTGGCAGTTCTTCAAAGCCTAAGAGAAGCCAAGAAGTGCTTCCCATCAGTTAAAAAACGATAATTCTCGACTTAAGACAACAAGAAAAAAAAATTGTATGCTGAGGTTACTAAGAATGAATCTTAAATTCGTGAAGTATAATAATGTACTATGTATTTTATTATTATTTAATGTTGGTAATGTCTTACTGTGTGCAATTTATTAATTAAACTGTATCATAGGTATGTTTGTAAACAAAAAATGACATATACAGTGGACCCCCGCATAACGATCACCTCCGAATGCGACCAATTATGTAAGTGTATTTATGTAAGTACGTTTGTACGTGTATGTTTGGGGGTCTGAAATGGACTAATCTACTTCACAATATTCCTTATGGGAACAAATTCGGTCAGTACTGGCACCTGAACATACTTCTGGAGTGAAAAAATATTGTTAACCAGGGGTCCACTGTATATATAGGGTTTGCATATCCACGGTTTTGGAATCCGGGGTAGGCCTTGGAATGTATCACCTGTGGATACAGGGAAAATACTGTAATTCAACTGAAGGAAGGGAGGAGGCGAGCTCACAGAAAGAAGTAGTGAAGGCCTGATCCTCCTAGTTATAAGAGACATGTTACTTGGCTGTGCTCACAGTCTCTCCACTTGGATTTTGTCATTGGCAATACTATATTTTTTTTTTTCAGATGCCCCATATATACATTACTGGTCACTTTTGGTTTCTAGTAATATAAAACTGCCTGCATTTGTGTTGTGGTGATATCATAGTGGAGGTATTGTCCATTGAAAGACTTGTTTATATATAAAACATTAGACCTTGAATAACCATTTCAATATTTTTTGCATGTAAATATTAGAATATTAACCCACTATTCTTACCCTTGCCACATAACTTGAGTGGAAAAGTTAACAAGTACGTATAGTTATAACTAAGCTATTCTGCCATATTTTAATCCAGAAATAACAAAGAAAATTCTAAGCCTTTTAATACTTACCCACACTTAGTAAGATATGTGACTTTGTTTTCATCTTTGACCTTCAGGGCATATTTATGGGCCTCAGTTTTGTTTCCATTTTTTCAAACAGGCATCAACAAAAGACTGAAAAAGAAAATTAATTTAGATTACCTCTGTTCAATTACAGTATTTAAAAAAGCAAGACAACATATTGTGTACAGTGTATACTAGCCACACAATTTTTTTCTTGGATGCTTTCAAACTTTGATACAAGAAGTAAACTTTGGCAATGTTCTAAAAGATAATATTCATAATTTGCATATTAACAAATGGGATAGATATCAAGAACTGTAATTACAAATAGTGTCTCCCTCTCTCAAGGTTTCTCTCTCTTTTTCAGTCTCTCTTTCTCAAAAAAAAAAAAAAAAAAAAAAAACACTGATGCTTAGACCCCATTACTCAAGTTCTAATGATACTGAACTGCATTAGCTTCATTTGATATTTATTAACTTCACCTTTGCCCAAAAACACTATGCACAGTGTGGGCTTCACTTGTTCCCAAGGGCAACAGAAATAATGGGAAGACCAGAACGAGCCCTTGGTTTACTCATAGGTGTAGGGAGGCAAAAAACTAAGTGCACTAGAGAATGGAAAAAGTACAGAAGGCAAAGGACCCAGGAAAATAGAGTGATTAGCCAAAGAGTCAGAAACAAATATACACAGATAAGGAGGGAGGCCCAGCGACAGTATGAAAACAGCATAGCATCGAAAGTCAAGTCTGACCCAAAACTGCTGTATAGCCACACTAGGAGGAAGACAAAAGTCAAAGACCAGGTAATCAGGCTGAGGAAAGAAGGTGGGGAGCTCACAAGAAACAATCAAGAGGTATGTGAGGAGCTCAACATGAGATTTAAGGAAGTATTTATAGTAGAGACAGGAAGGCGCTCTGGGAAGACAGAACAGAGAGGAGCACCAACAAAGGTTATATAACAAGTGTTGGATGAAATACATCAAAAACCCCCTTAAAACTGGGCAACTACCTGAAGTATGGAAAATGGAAAATGTAGTCCCAGTTTTTAAGAAAGGAGACAGAAACAAAGCACAGTGTCACTGATGTTTTATATTTATGCGAAGTCATGGAGAAGATTATCAGGGGAGAGTGGTGGGGCACCTAACATGAAACAAGATTATAAATGGAACCAACATGGGATCATGGAAGGCAAACCCTGTGTCACAAACTTTTTGGAGTTTTATGACAAAGTAACAGAAATAAGACACAAGAGAGAGGGGTGGGTTTGATTGCATTTTCTTGGACTGCAAGAAGGCCTGTGACACAGTTTCTCAAAAGGGAGATTAGTGCAGAAGCTAGAGGATCGGGTGCATATAACAGGAAGGGAATGCAATGGATCATAGAATACCTGACAGAGAGGCAACAGTGAGTCATGATATGTGATGAGGTATCACGTGGGTGCCTGTGACAAGGGGGGTCCCCCAAGGGTCAGTCCTAGGACCAGTGCTATTTTTGGTATATGTGAATGACATGAGGGAAAGGGGAAATAGACTCAGAAGTGTCCCTGTATGCAGATGATGTGAAGTTAATAAGGAGAATTAAATCAATGAGGATCAGGCAGGACTACAAAGAGACCCGGACAGGCTGGACACGTGGTCCAGCAACTTGCTTCTTGAATTAACCCCTCCAAAATACAAAGTCATGAAGATTGGGGAAGGGCAAAGAAGACTGCAGACAGAGTATAGGCTAAGTGGCCAAAGACTGCAAACCCACTCCTAAGGAGAAAGATCTTGGGGTGAGTATAACACCAAGCACATCTCCAGAAGCACACATCAACCAGATAACTCCTCCAGCATATGGGCGCCTGCAAACCTGAGAAGGCATTCTGATACCTTAGTAAGGATTCGTTCAAGACATGTACACCCTGTACGTCAGGCCCATACTGGAGTATGCATCACCAGTTTGGAAAAACCAACCTCGTCAAGCACGTCAAGAAATTAGAGAAAGTGCAAAGGTTTGCAACAAGGTTAGTTCCAGAGCTAAGGGATATGTCCTACGAAGAAAGGTTAAGTGAAATTGGCCTGATGACACTGGAGGACAGGAGGGTTCGGGGAGACATGATAACGACATACAAAATACTGTGTGGAATTGATAGGTGGACAGAGACAGGATGTTCCAGAGAGGGGACACAGAAACAAGGGGTTTACAATTGGAAGTTGAAGACTCAGATGAGTCAAAGGGATGTTAGGAAGTATTTCATCAGTCACAGAGTTGTCAGGAAGTGGAATAGTCTAGCAAGTGATGCAGTGGAGGCAAGAACCATACAGAGCTTTAAGACGTGGTATGATAAAGCTCATGGAGCAGGGAGAGAGAGGACCTAGTAGTGATCAATGAAGAGGCAGGGCCAGGAGCTGAGTCTTGGCCCCTGCAACCACAATTAGGTGAGTACAAGTAAATATGGCTTTAAATGTATACATCTCTGAACACAACTGTTTCTCTTTCATACTGTACTATGTACAGAACTTATATAAATTTAAATGCAGTGAACCCTCTCACATTAACAGAATAATAAAAGTGGGTGTAAGATACTCCCAAGAGTTCAAAACTTCTGAATTGTGAAATCAATATCTCATGATCACCCGTTTGTCTTCTGAACTACTGGATTTGATCCACTAATACAGAAAATATTCGGGTACTCAGAGTATGGGTATTGTAACCTGTAGTACTATGGTACAGTACTTAAGTGTTTAGTAATTTTATAGTACTGTATGTAATTTACAGTAATTTTACTCATCTTTTCATTGTGGAGAAATAAAGTGTAAACTGCCATTATCGACAGTGGTGATGCAGAATAACTTTCATTTGAGTCACAGGAGCTGTAAAGCTCCATTAGCATCTACACTAAACTAAGAGTATGTATGTCCTTGCTTCAGTGAATATCAGACATTGTTTCTTAACACTATATTCCTCACAGAGCCATACCACTGAGATGCCACACTCAATGTTTTTTATTAAAGTTTCTGTTTAACACAGAACCACATATTTCCTTTTGGCACTGCCACTTGCTTTAGAAGCCATTGTTAATTGCACTTTACTTACTATGCTAATAAGTCTCAGAAAATGCTCAAAATCCAGGGAAAATTAGACAGAATGACGAGAGGCTATGTGAGTGAGCACAAACAATAAACTGGTGTGGGTGGCCTACATCTCCAGAGATCAATGAAAAGAGAGAGGTCCTGGGTGTGCCTGTTCTGGCCCATAATGGACAAACTTCAGAGTCTTTGGCTTGGTCCAACACTTCTGAAGACAGCCAGACACTAATGCTATGGATAAAACTTGGAATCAATGGACTTTTGTCTATTTCATTTGATACTTCCAATGTTTGTTCAGGAATTTTTTTGTCCAAATTGCCAAAATTCATTAAAAAGGCTTCACTGTAATGTACTCCAATTATTTTTTCTTCTTAAATTAACTGGAAATGCTTTGTATGTATGAGATTTTTAACCTTTTCAGGGTTTTTGATGTACTAGTACGTCTTATGCACCAGTGTTGGTGACGTAATAGTACGCGTAAATATCTAGCGCCGTCAAATCAAGCAGGAAAAGGCTGGTAGGCTATATGTGAAAGAATGGGTCTGCGGGTTCAGTGTGCGCAGTATAAAAGAAAATCCTGCAGCACACAGTGCATAATGAGGGAAAAAAACTGACCATGATTTTGGTTTAAAACAGCTATTTTGCAGTCTATTTTTGTATGGTATTTATGAGTGTATTCTCGTTTTCTTGGTATCTTTTGACAGAATGGAAGATACATTACAGAAACAAAGATAATTTTGCTTGGTTTCATGACGACAAATACCTTGAAATTGAGCACAAAGTAGCAAAAATGTTTGATTCTTGCTGATGTTCAAGAGTAAACAAATCACATCACGTGTCCAATACATGTCAACTAGTGAGTCTAATATTCTTGCACGAGTGTGCTGATATTATATATACCATTTTTACAATGATGCAGTAGTACACATAACAGTAAATTTTCTTTTGTGAGAATAAAAATTCAAAATGGAAAGCAAAAGTAATTTAAGAGGGACCTGGAGATGTGACTAACGAACAGATAAAATGTTATTTTAGTGCCAGGAATGTCTATCTGTCTTGTTTATTCTTGACCCAATTTTGAAATTTGTGTGAAATTGGCCAAATTGCCAATTTCTGACCACTTAACTGAATAGTTGAAATCGGTACATGGGCAGTTTCTTGGACTCAATTGATAAAACAAAAGGAATTCTAGTGAAATAGCTATGATTTTAGTAGACTGAAACACTGGAATTGGCTGAAAAATAGGGCTCAAAGTGGGCGAAATCGCTGATGCGAAATATCGTCAAGACCACTAACTTCACGAGAGCATAATTCCGTAAGTTTCCATCAAATTTCATACTTTTAGGGGTCATTATGATCAGAAAAAGATTTTCTATCATTTCATAAGAATTTTTTTTTTAAATTTTTTGACCCTGAGAGTGAGTTAAGGATCGGGGTCTCGACCCCGAAAGGGTTAAAAATTATGAACAGTATGATGTAAATTTTAGGAATAGTTGTTATTATTATTTTTTACTATTATTATTATATACAAGTAAAAAACCCAGTTCCAACATCCTCAAAACCAATTGGAGTTAAGACAGAATTGGGATTGGGGATGACCGGGAGGTTTCGAGGGGGTAGGGGATGGTGATCAGGTTTACATTGAAGCATATTTTTAACATATTTAGATAAAAAAGGGGAAGTTTTTATTGCTTTTTTGGGATTTAGAAAGGCAATGATAGAGGGAAGGGGAGCAATGTGGCAGATGTTGCAAGATAGGGAAAGGTGGTAAGTTATTAAATGCTGTAAAGAGTTTTTATGGGGAAGTGAGGCCAGGTTAGGGTGTGTAGAAAAAGGGAGACTACCCCCGGGGTAAAAGTAGGTCTTAGACAGGGATGTGAAATGTCACCATGGTTTTTTTTAATATATTTTTAGATGGGGTTGTAAAGGAAGTAAACGGGGTGTTTGGGAAGGGGGGTTTAAAATTTAGGGAAAAACAAATTCAAAAGGGGAATTGCACAGTTACTTTTTGCTGAAAAACTGTCTAGGGGAGTTTCAAAAAA